GTTGTTTGTGTTTTTTTTTTTTCTTTTTTACAGCTATGGATACTAAAGGATCCCAGAGCTGTTTGTGGTTCTCTATTGCAGGCTGTTGCCTGTCTGTTGTTGTTGTTTGTTAATTCCTTTCTGAAAAGAGACTTGAAAACACTGCCATATCTTCCAGGTAGTTTTGTGTGGTGGATCTGCTCGAATCCCAAAACTGCAGCAGCTGATCAAAGACATCTTCCCAAATGTGGAACTACTGAGCTCAATACCTCCAGATGAAGTTATTCCCATCGGTGCAGCAATAGAGGCAGGAATCCTACTAGGGAAAGAAAACCCTTCTCTAGAAGAGGAAGCATTGTTTATTGAGTGTTCTGCCAAGGATATTCTTCTTAAGGTAAGGGTAAAATTACTTGAAAATGTTACTGCTGCAGTGATTGTGAAGTACTGCTTATGCATTGATGTTAAAGAAATAATATTGTTTTAATAAATTACCACTTAACACCTGACCAGTTTGTGTACTGGTATTGATAGAGCAGTTCCTCTGGACTCTCAAGAAGATGGATTGTGAGCTTGCTATTTCCTTAACAGTTGCTGTGTCCTTTTAATTGCTGGATTTTTTTCACTTCCAGAAACTTTCTATTAATGGAATTATTGTGATGGTAAATACATTCCCTCTGCTGTATCTGGCATTTCTTTTCTCTTGGAGCACTGTTACAAAGCTTCTGGTTCACTAAAATACTTAGAAAGGCATGAACTGTTTTTCTTTCTTTTTAAAGGGTGTAGATGAGACGGGGGCTGACAAATTCACAGTGCTGTTTCCATCAGGGACACCATTACCAGCTCGAAGGCAGCACACCTTGCATGCTCCTGGAAACACTTCTTCTGTATGCCTTGAACTGTATGAGTCGTTAGGGAAAAGTCCTATGAATGAAGAAAACAAATTTGCACAAGTGAGTGTATACACGTGCATGTCTGCTTGCAGTACAGCCTACTTGGAAATCATGTGGCTTTAGGAGGGTAAAAAATTAAATCAAAAGCAGCGACACTTCTACTGTAACTTGTTACAAAGTTAAAATGAAATGCATTTCTCTGGAAACTGTACTTGAACGTTCTTCTATAAATTACTGAGTGCTTTTTAAAAAAAAAAAATTCAGGTTTCCCTCTTGAGTTTATAAAAGTCTGTCTGGTTTTAAGGTGTGGCACTACTGTGGTGCATGCAACTTGTCGGGGATGGGACACCATAACCAGTCCCTCTTGTACCTACTTAGAAATGGAGGTAATGAAGAATCATAGAATCACCAAGGTTGGAAAAGACCTAAAAGATCAACCAGTCCAACTGTTCTCCTATAACGAATAGCTCCCACTAAACCATGTCCCTCAACACAACAGCTGGTATCTGTACTGTAACTCCTTTATGACTTTCCTAGATTAGATAGGATGTTGGTATTAAAACCAGTTCAGGTCAAGTGAAAATGTAATCATATTAACACCATGAAAAATGAAAAGAATAACACTTGGAAGTCAGCCTTTTGAGAGGCTTGTTTCAAACACTGATCTTAGCTTTCCTTCAGTGTACTTTTACAGCATCAAAAAGACTTGTGGCTGAAACTGACAGAGTTTTAGGGTAACTTTTTTTTCTTTCCACCCTGGTCCCTCCACAGGGTCTTGGAGGATAGAGGAAGCAAGTTCTCCAGTAAGTATAGAGTTGATGTAAGTTCTCCAGCTATCTTGCTGATGGGCTCTGAAACATAAAAACACTGAAACAGTCATGCAGATGTTAAATTTTTTTAAAAAAGGGAGACTTATTACAGGTGTGTGCAGTTTAGTGGGGCATGCTTTAACGTTGAATAATAATACCACATGTTACACAGAATAAATTGCATACCTCAGTTACTGTGTGCATTGTTTTTCCTTTAGATTGCTGTGCAAGAAAGATCTTATACTTTTTTTTTTTATTAAGCTCTGATTTTCCTTCTAGATTGTGCTCCAGGATTTAGATAAAAAGGAAGATGGCCTACATGATCTATTGACTGTTCTTACTATGAAAAGGTACACAAAATACTTATTGTTCTGCCATTTAACTTGCTTCATCACACTTCTAACAAATGGTTTAACTGTATCTGAGAGCAGTCACGTTTTTGGGTGTCTTAAAAAATGTCTTGAGTGTTTGGGCTGATGTGAAATACTTGTAAAGATATCCAAATGTGGAATTCCAAGTAATGAGAGCATGTTTGTCTTCTGAGGGTTCTCTTGAAATCAGTGCTGCTTTTCTAAATAATAAGAAAGTTCTTTAGGTATTGCTGGGAAACTAAATCCCTACTTGCTATTTGAGTACAAAATACATTCGTTTTCTTACATTAACTATCAAGCATATTTAATTCTATTTGAATAGACATAAATACTTCAGTCTTGCAGTGAGTATGAGGTTTGTGTTGGTAAGAGATATATCTTAGGATCCATATTCGTAGTTGTGAGGTAAAAACTTTATTATTATTTTAAGAGCTTACCATTTATTGTAAGTAATGTTAATATTTTTCTAGGCATTACTTAACTTATTTTTAGGAGTTCTCCAATTCTAAGTTTAAAATATTAAAACCTTAAAATAATTTAAGTATTCAAAGAAACACATCAGTGAAAGTTCACAAGAACACATTTCTATCTGAATCTTGCGTTTGGCTATTTTATGCCTAGATTAAACAGGATTTGATATAAACTTTTTTCTAGGAAGCCTTATTTCTTTGAAGGAGATTGTTTGAAGACTGTTTTGTAGCAGTCCTCGTGCTTTGAGGAAGATGCACTTATCTGTTGATTGCCATTACTCGTTTTTCAGTATGGCTACTTTGAATATTACTACATATTGCATTTCCAAATCTGCACTAAGTTAGTTAAACAGCAATACAAGTATATAAGCTGCGTTCCTGAATCAATTCTGTTATATTTGGGTTTAAAAGGTTTAATGGAGAATAAGAAGTATGTATCTAAATACTCAACACAGTAAAGAAAACTGAAATGAAGTTTAAATAAGCGTATTCTTCCCTGCATGCTCTGCTAGTCTTGCTTCCTTCCATTTGCACAAGGCTGCTGTTTCTCTGGGACTTGCATACTCAATGCTGTGCTGAGATGGTCCTTTCTAATTTTTCTTTTAGGGATGGATCCTTGCATGTTACCTGCACAGATCAAGATACTGGAAAGTGTGAAGTCATCACTGTTGAAGTGGCATCATAATCTCATTTGAGCACCTTTCTGAGTTAGTTTTTGTCTCTTGCTGACTTGTCCCCTGAAGTGATGACTGAAACATGTTTAATGGATCACAGAGAACTGTAATAAAAAGTAAAAGATTTGCCGCCAAGTCTGTTTGCATTGGAAAATACGATGTGGAATGTCAGGCTAGAGGGTAGGCAACAGCATTGAATTATCAACACCCTTTTTAAAAAAAAAAAAAGGGCATATCTCAGGTGTGTGGCTCAGCAACAAGCATGTTATGTAGTCTGGCAAAATGATTTTAGACTAATTGGGTCCTATAAGTTTTCAGAGAGTATACCTGTATACCACATAGCACTGAACCAACAAGAGCTAGATATATGAAAATCCACTCTCAAGTAATTGTATGAATTATACTGAAAACTTGTGTGGGCTTGATGTTGCCTGAAACCATGGAGGTTGTGCCCATTTGGGATGGCCCTTTGAGCAGGATTTTTCTGGAATTACTTTCAGGTGGTTTTGTCACGTTACCTGGAAAAATGTGTATAAGGGTTATATGTGCTTATTTATGTGTTTATTAATAAAAATTTTATACAGATGCTGTCATCCTCTATGCTGTGTATACTGTTCTCATCTCTAAATTACTAGATAGTTGGATATCAATAGATACTCTTAACTTTGGGTAGAGGAGTAATAACAAGAAAGTGGGATGGGCAAGTATAGTTACAGGCTTTGCAGGTCTCAGTCTAACACTTAGAGAGGCTGCAGTTCAGCCCTTACAGCCCCATAGTCAAAGTGACCAAGTAGTTGCTCAGAAACAGGCATAAATAGATATTAGAAATAAATGCCAGTTTGGACTTGAAGCAACTTGGATTCAATTATTGCTTTCAGATTTTTGTCTCATGCTCCTCCACCACCTGCTTGTGGGTTGTATGTTTTAATATTCTTTCTATCTTACAAAAGCAATTTTATATAGGTAAAAATCTCTGCATTCCAAACAAATCTCTGTGTGCTCTCTGGTTTACCAGACTAAACGTGGCTTTGAATTTGTAATGCTTCTGGCTGAAGTACTCAGAGTTCTGCCTCTCCTATCCCTGCCTCTGTGATCTTTTAACTTTAAGTGAACAACACGGCAATACATCTTTTAAAGATGTTTTTCTTTTAGAAGAAATCTTAGAAAACCCGAAGCCTGGTTCTGTCGGGCAGTGCTGTCCCCTATCCCAGTACGGTCGCATCTTTCTTTGGGCTTTCTACCAGGCTGACGAGCACCAGCTAGTGGCCGAACGTGCCTAATGGCTGTAAGTTTCACTATGCTTCACTGTGCTCCGTGGGGCTTATGGGGTTTTGGACTGAATTGAAGGCTATTTGAGCCGCGAGCAGCTCTTCTGAGAAGCGTACTGTGACGAGGGAACGCTTTTGTTTGTTTAAAGCGTCTGAAATCTCTCTGCGACTCTGCACTGTATCGGGGCAGTGTGGGAGCGGGGCCTCCTGGCTGCCTTTGGGGGCCTTTTGTCCCCTTGCCCGTGTGCTGCTGCTGAAGCGGTGCCGTAAACGAACAAAGAGCGGGCGCGTGGGGCTCGTTCTACCTGGCACGTGATAGAACAGCGAACTTAATGTAAAAGTGCCTTTTAGCCGCTTGAAATGTGCGCTACCACCGCTGCTTCGGTATCGTTTACTTAAGATTGTTTTTTCTTGCTGCTTTCACTCAACGGGAAGGCAGGGACCGAGCGCCGAGCCACGCCGCCGCTCGAGGAAAGGCGCCGCGCTCACAGCCGACGAGGGAACGGCCCGCCGTGAGGAAGAGCCGCGCGGGCGCCGGGAGGCGGCCGTTACCACAGCACCGCCCTCCCCCCTCCCCCCTCTCCCGCCGCCTGCGGCCCTGCGCGGCCCCTCCAAGATGGAGGGCTGGCGAGGAGGTGAGGGCGCGGCGGCGGCGGCGGTTCGGGCCGCGGCACGGGATGGTGGACGGTTCCTCCGGCGGCGCCTCGCCTCGATCTCTCCTCCCTTCTCCTCGCGCTGGGCGGGCCGAGCGGGAGCGCGAGGGGAGGCCGCGGAACCGCCGCCGAGCTCCGCGGGACCGTTACCGCCGCCCGCTTCGCGCCGGGGGACGGCCGGGGGCCTCGCGCGCTCCCTGGGCCGGGCCGGGCCGGGGGGGGCGGGGGCGCCTGAGGTGAAGACGCGGCGCGCGAGGGGCGGCCGGGGCGAGGCCTGATCCTTCCCTGCCCGCTCGCCCTCCGGGGCGCTTCCATTACACGGCAGTTATCCCGTCCCGTTCCTCGTGCGGTTTCCATTTGCAGAAGTCTGGTGCTGCGGCGTCTGCCCTCCGGTAGCGTTGTTTTTTTGTGTGTATCGCTACGCGCACATCCGTGCCCGAGGAAGGCTCAGGGAGGGAGCCGTTGTGTTTGGCTTTGCCCCTTAGAGCAGCGCTCAGTGAGACGTGTGGCTGCGCACGGGGCGGTAACGTGGGGACTCCGGGGTGAGGCGAAGCAGTGCGGGATGGTTTCCGTTCAGCCGAGACATTAAAGAGGATTCTTTACCGGTTTTCTTATTGTAGCTTGGTATGTGCCATGTCTAGCTTCACATGAGACCCTCCAAGAATTATGTAGGAAGGAAAATCTGAGATGTAAATCCATTGGAATCACCAACAAGAGTCTAAAGAGTTATGAGGTGGAATATTTGTGTGACTACAAGGTAGAAGAGGTAAGAGAAACACGCAGACCGACCTGATCGCTCTTTCAGCTGCAATTCGGAAGCCAGACCGAGGTGGCTGTACTCGTGATGTAAAGCAGCAGGCTGTCAGCGCGAGGCTGTTGATGACACCGAACAAAATACCTTCTGAACTTTGCAAACAGAAAGTGGCGTAGCTGAGCATGTTCAGCGTGCTGGAGGAAGCCTTTCTGTTCTGAAATTATGGAGATTTTGGAGCATAAAATGTTTTGCCTTGTATCTAGAAGTAAAGCAAAACGCTGACGCTTTTAGGTTGTAACTTGTTATGTATTACGATGCTTCTGTTTGCAGCTAACTGTATATTTTTCTCTGCAGTGTTGTAGTCTGTTTGAAGAGTTAGGGCTGTGTGCTGCAACTGGATTCCTGCGGCTTGGTCTTGCCATTGAAATTCAGCATCAGGATTTGACCTTTTTACAGTTATTACAGTGGGCCCTTCTAAAATGAATACCAAGCATGTGCTTCTTGACTGTAAATACAGCATTAAGCATTTTGAACAGATTGCTTCTTTAGGAGCACAGTTGATATAGGACAAACAGTGTTAGGTGTTAGATAAGTTTAGGATTTGTTGGGTTTTTTTGTGTGATACAACTGTATTCTTCCTATGCTTGTAATTCATACAGCCAGATAGCATAACTTAACTGCTTTAAGACACTAGCATCCCCCTGCTTAACCGTTTGTGATGAGATCTTCACAGCTGTGTATTTCTGTGCCCCTTGAGCTGATACGTAAAGTGCACAGAATTGTGCTCTAAATTAACTTGCAAACAGAAAAGTTGTTTTTTCCTTTTCTCCTAGTTGTAATTGTTACGTGGACATCTAGACCTTTCTGTACCGTACTCTAGCACTCTATGATGTTGTATTTTGGTGAATTGAATCATGGCTAAATCTGTTATCTGTTTCTGTATTTAAAGGGCAAAGAATATTATCTTGTGAAATGGAAAGGATGGCCAGAATCTTCAAATACTTGGGAACCTCAGAAAAATCTGAAATGCCCAAAACTTCTTGAAAACTTTCTTAGTGACAAGGACGAATACTTATCTCGGATGAAAGAAGGCAAAGCACTGAAAGTGAGAAACAGTGTTAAAGCTTTGAAACCTGCAGTTGCAGATTACATTGTAAAGAAGGCTAAACAAAGAATAGCTCTGCAGAGATGGAAAGAAGAACTCAACAGGAAAAAGAATCATAAAGGAATGATTCTGGTAGAAAACACTGTGGATCTTGAAGGTCCTCCTATAGACTTCTATTACATTAATGAGTATAAGCCTGCTCCGGGGATAAATGTAATAAATGGAATAACAACTGGCTGTGAATGCTCAGACTGCCCTGCCGAGAAGTGCTGTCCAAAGGAAGCTGGTTTTATTTTGGCTTACAATAAACGAAAGAAGCTGAAAATCCAGCCTGGCTTGCCCATCTATGAATGCAATTCATTTTGCAGGTGTGGTCCTGACTGCCCTAATAGGATAGTACAGAAAGGCACACAATATTCTCTTTGCATCTTCAGAACTAACAACGGCCGAGGCTGGGGAGTGAAAACCCTCCAGAAAATTAAGACCAACAGTTTTGTGATGGAATATGTTGGAGAGGTATGTATTTATCTCATACGGGTTATTTTGAAGGAGAAAACAGGAGAAAATCTTGATGAGCTTTCTCTCAGTTTCATCACTTCCTGACTTCAGCTGTATAAGTCTACTTTTGAGTAGAAGAATACACTGAATAGACATTTGTGCTGGCAGTAAAATCATATTGTCCAAAACGTCCTCTATTCCAGAGGCTGGATAAGAAGAGAACACATCTTTTGTGTCAGTAAATAAGTACTTTTGATAATTATTTCAAAATATCAGCATTTCTAAAAGTGGATCCTCCTTTTCATTCTTGGCAGTCGCATTCTTCTTTCCTTCCATATCTTTATTGTAGTTCCTGCTGTTCCCCAGGCACAGTTGTTACCAGACTCTGCACCCAGTCTGTCAGTCCCATTTCTGTTCTGTCTGCACAGCCTCTCTCATGCTATTTCAGAACAGAATTTAGTGCTGTAAAATACAGAGCTCGAGTTCCTCTTATTACTTTGTGTTACCTGGTTCAGCCTCTGTTACGCTTCAGGGCCCTTTGCATCAGCTGTTCCTGGCAGCCTCTCCAATCCTGTCTGTTGCTTTTCTGCCATGTATCTGCTTTGCTGATACGATGACTCAAAACAATTCATTCTGTCCCTGCTACAAATTCTTATGGTCTTCACTGTATTACCTCCATGCTTCCTGCCCCAAGTCTTGTCAGGTTTGTACCCTTTAAATTAATTCCTGTGAGCATGCAGGAGGCTGCTGTGATTGCAGAACTACGTTGCTTAAAGCAAAGATGTGGCCTGTCAGAAAAATCAAATATTTTTCTCCCTTACTTTTTATGTCTGTCCTGCTGCCAAACTGTGATTTCTTTGCTGATTGTGCACAATGGGATACCTTTAACACAGTGGGCTGCAGACAAAGTTTTTAAAGCTGTGGCTTCTGTCAAACATTGCTGTAGTTCTTCTGCTCCTTTGGGGATCCTCTGGATTTCCACCTCTGGTTAGCATTTACCAACATCCAAATATTTAACTTGGGTGATGATATTTTTGTTTGTTCCTGAGTCACAGTGCTGTGCATCAGCCATAGACAAGTTACATCCAGAGAAGCTGCAGTCACTAATTAATTAATTTAGCTCTATACATGTATTCTTTATTCATTATATACAGAATACTACTATTTCAACTTGAAAAAAAAGGAAATGTGGTATTTTTCCTAAGCAAAATTTTTCTAACTCGTGATTTTAACTTTTATTTTAATTTAGTAATAGTTAATAATATGATGCAGGTTTCTCTTTGTTTTTATATTTTTGTAGGTGATTACAAGTGAGGAAGCAGAGAGACGAGGCCAATTCTATGACAACCAGGGAAATACATACTTGTTTGATTTGGACTATGACTCAGATGAGTTTACAGTAGATGCAGCTCGATATGGAAACGTGTCCCACTTCGTGAATCACAGTGTAAGGCCTCGGTTTATATCCTGAGTACTTGGAGCATTATCCTAATTGGGCCAGAAACATCTTCTCCTACTGCTAATATTTACACAGTGTGTTCAGTGGTGTGTTCACCATTCTTTCCGAAGTTTTTCATGCCAACGCAGTGCAGGCAGTAGCACAGTGTACTGAGTAGAATGCAGAACTTGTACTCAGAGTGAGAGTACATACAAATGTCTAGGAGCATCAGGGTGCACAACGTGAGCATGTGGTTGTAGGGCAGTCACTGAATCTGCTGGTTCTAGACAACCAAAATAGGGTTGGTTTGTTTGTTGAAGTGACTGAAAGGCCTAATGTGAGAAATTCTTAATCAAATTAGTGAGGAGTCAGAGATGATGGAACTGCTCCATTGTTTTGCAGCAGAGCAGGGTTTCTAGGGATGTGAAATGTCATCCATCAAACATTAGTAGCTGGAAAAAAGAAAAATTCCTATGCATTCTTCGGTATTTCTCTTCTGTGAGCAACTTTTTTCCTTCTCAGTGTGAAATGTAAACTTGCCAGGGTGCAAAAAAGTTGGTTTTAGACAAGAAATTTTTTGTTGTGTTTTATTTGCTGTTGAACTGAAGTACATGAAAAAATGAAACCTGCACTGCGTTAGTAAAGAAATTCTAGTGATGTTTAGTTCAGTAATGCTGTGCTTGTTACTGATGTATGCAGTCTCTGTTCTACAAATACAGTACACTCGCATCTTCAGATCTGTGAGCCCATGCCATCATTGGTATTTCATGCAGGCTTGGTGGGGAAAAGCATGAAAAGTTTTAGGTACGGCCTGCTCTTCGCTTTTGGGAATGGAAATGAAGTGTTCTTGCACTTGTAAAGTTAGAAGTCTAACTTCAAGGTTGGCTTTGTCATATAGGATGTGTTTTTCTTTTAAAAAGCACGTGTGCAGTTTAACAAGTGTTTTAGTGACTGCTGTCTTCTGAAACTTCATCTGTCAAAAATGAGAAAGCAGCTTATAGCTTGTGCTTAGTTTGCCTGACACTGCTCCTCCTGCCTGTAACGGATCATTCAAAGCTCAGATTAGCAATTAAAAATAGTTACCTGCAGTATGAGAATATTATTTCTGGCCTAGAAGCAATGTTTACACTCCTTATTTTGCATCTATGTTTGTGTGGCTTAAGGTGCGAGGTTGTTTCTTCTTTCAGCTTATTATTGGTTTTATTATTAGGCTTATTAATTATTTTTGTGGATTTAATAAGTAGATCTTAACCTTGGTCTCATTTGTTGCCATATTTTGGAGTTACAATTATTTTACATAGGCTGTCAGGTATTATTATAGTCTTTGTGCTGTGTGAAAGTTGCCTTCGAAAGTGCTCTGCTTTAAGCTCTGAATGTTCTGCTTTAATGCTACTTCAGAACTGTTGATTTCAGAAGATAGATGACTAGATTTTTAGACTTCTGTCACTAAGAACCATTTCTCCTTCTGCTGAATACTTCAGTGAAACGTACTGTGCATTTTTTTAACAGAAACTACACTAATTTTTGCTTCACAGTGTGATCCCAATCTTCAAGTCTTCAATGTATTTATCGATAACCTTGACCTGCGTCTTCCTCGAATAGCACTGTTTTCCACAAGAACCATCAAGGCTGGAGAAGAGCTGACATTTGACTACCAGATGAAAGGTCTGCAGGTTTTACGTTGCTCTTGAGGGAAGTAGGGGGCACTGGCTAATTTTGTTGCAGTCTGACTAATGTCAATGTTTTAGGTCAGGCATTGCATCTCACTAGAACAGATGTCCCTCACTGACAGCGCAGACAGCGCACAACCAGAAGCTTTGTGTGCACCTCTAGTGCATTACTTCCTTCAGCACTCCTGGTTCAGAGCAAGGGGTTGTGGTTGGAACCTCTGACAAGGTAGCTTGCTTTAAAGATTTGTCACAGGGCTGCTCAAAATAATGGTCAAGACAAAAAACGTATTTGGAGACGTTTAGAAAAGCTTCCCCTTATTGAAGCTGGCATTTCAGGTAAACCACTTTTTAAAGAATCTCCTGAGAAGCAGCTGCTTCTAACTGACAGTTATGAAGGCAGTTGTAACAGCCGAGTGAAGTAAGGTACCATAGGTGTGTACAGGGATTGTTATGCAGAGACTTCAGGAAGAAATATTCTTGGTGAAATATTACCAGCTTCTTTGATAACTGATTTTCCATTCAGTAATTCCTTTTTTTTTTTCCCAGTGCAGTATAAAACATTTGAATCTGGTTGGCAGTGGTGTTCTGTGTGTCAAGTGTGCATGCTTGCAAACCACTAAGCCACAACGTATTGTTTTCCCAGCTGTTTAATTTCCAAAGAAGTATTTTTATGCTCCAGAGCTGTACCACATTCTTGCAGAAGCTCTCTTTCAATATTGACCAAGTTCTTTTATTGAAATCTCTTTTAAAACTTCCCTTTTCTTTTTGTGGTGCCTGTAACAGTGATGTTCAAGGCAGACTGCAGTCTCAGCTGACCAGTATATGCCGATAAGCTTGAGCCTAAAGGGCCTGAGTTCACTGAGCTTTGGATCCTGACATGTGTGACAAGTGTTGGATAAGCAGTTGTAATGTGGGTGTTGGTAGAATTCAGCATAGCTTCACACACAATTTTTTTAAGAGCTGGGGTGGTAGAAGGCTTCTTGAAGCCATTTCTCTGTCTTGAATTCCTAGCTCAATTTCAGTCTTTCCATTAAAATGTCCTTATTTGTGTTTGTCTGTGTCACAGGTTCTATAGATCTGACTTCAGACTCTGCTGATGGTCTGAGCCCATCCAGAAAGAGGATCAGAACAGTCTGTAAATGTGGAGCTGTGTGTTGCAGAGGTTATCTCAACTGAGTTTGAGTACCCAAAGTCACAAATACTTTGTTCTCTTCTCAAAGAGTTTTAAGGAGACTCTTCTTTCATACATACATTATTCTTACAGCTTATGTAAACAGATACAACGAAAACAAGATGTTATGTTTGTAAGTGAAATGGCATTGGCCAAAGAAAGAGATCTAGTGTTTCAGGTTGAAACTGATAATGTGGATTAAAATTTAATTTTTCTATCATCGTTATTTGGGAAGCAGTAAACTATATGGTAAGAAAATTCTCTAACATGTACCTTGATTTGAATATTAAATGTAAGCTCACAGCGGTAGGCCTTTTAGGAGCTGATTTCAGTGAGATAAAGTGGTGTTGCATATTTTCTGTACCTTGCAAAGAAGGTATTAGAAGGCATTCAATTTGAGTCCTAAATCATAGCAGACAGTTCCTTTTTTTTTCTTTCTTTCTTTTTTTTTTTTTTTTTTTTTGTGCTGGTGTGTAAAAGAAAGGCTGAGAGAGTCAAAAAGAGAGAGTAAGCAATAACATCTGTGGCACCACGATGAGAGGCATCAGAGCACGACTGGAAGGCGGCTCAGAGGGGTGCAAACTGGAAAAGCTCCATTGAATTCCACACAGTAAAATCGTCGGCGTTCGTTGAGTCTGGGGGTCTTAAACATCTTCACCTGATGTCATGTTGTTCGGAAGCTTTATGAATAGCATTTCTTAAATCGTTACGTTCTGACTTTTAGTTCAGGTTCTGTAGGAGGTCTTCTTTTCTGCACAGAGTTTGTAAATGTTGGGTTATTATTGGTAACACACACTGTTTTGTTTTCATTGCAGAAATTTGGCAGTCATTGCTGAAAAAAAAAATACTGGCTACAGTTTGGGAATAGAAAACAAAGTAATTAAAGGAAAGCAGCCTGTTGCCCATCAACACTGATGCATTCTGCAGATATACTTAGTTATCTGTTAGGTGTAGAAATAGCCTGGGAATTGATTTGTATTAACAGTTGTTTTTGCTTAAGTTTTTACATACTGTGACTTTATTTTTTTTTTTTAATCTAGTGACAGATTTTTAAGATATTAGCCCTATTTTTCTCGTGTTGCAAAAATATTAACTTCAGTGAAGTTAGGCTAGGGTTGAGCTACCCATTTGCTGTAGTCATTTGTAACATGTTCTTGAATGTAAAGGCTGAGAAGAATACTGTTCTTCAGCTGCTTGTATCATTTTATTATTATTACCTTAAAGTTGTTTTGATCTGTTGGTAATATGTGCTACGTTTTGCTTGGCTTCAAAGACACTGAAGAGCACTTGAGTTTGGTTATGAGTGGAGTTACAGCCAAGGTCCATGCTCTGGGGATATTTGAAGGGCTTTATTCTCATGGATAAAAAAGCTTGTAAAACTTGCATGTTGCTTACAAATACTTGCTTACAAAATGTTGACAGTCAGGCAGAATGTTGTTGCTCCCTAAATGGATGCTAGCTATGTATCATAGGTCAGCTAGTTGCCTTTATAAGGTGCACAGCTGTTGTCTCAGGTGAATGAAGTCAAGTACCCAGCATGTATCAATTTCCTTAATTTGTTAGCAAATGCCTTAAACTTCAGGCTAGTTCCCAGCACTCCAAGAAGAGTGTTTCAGAGGATAACACAGGTTGTCTGCTGACTAAGAAGCACCGTTGCATTGGCACTGAACATCTGGCTCTTTGGCAGGAAGTGTCATTTTTTTTATGCTGGGAGACACTGAAATCAGTTTCACGGTTGGAGTGAAGAGCATGGGCCACTGCAAGTCCTGTCTGAGGTTTGTAATCTACAACACAAAGAGATACATGTGAAGTTATTGTTTCACATGAGCAGGAGGAAACTTGCTTATGTTTAAAAGTATTTGACATTAACAGGCTCAGCTGTATCCACACACTTGGATAAATGCTCAATCTATTCAATTTATAAAATGCCACTTCTCCAGCAGTTTTTAATTTATTGATGTGGAATGTTGGAGTTTAACAAACTCTAGATTATCTGCTGTCATTTGGAGTTGTTTGCTTTCTCTTGCATGTAGCCCAGTTTAGAAACGCATTCCACACGGATGGAATCTGCGACCTCCAGCTCCTGAATCTGCTGCAGTCTGCAGCCTTTCCTCGGCACAGGAGTGCAAGAGTTCTGCAGCAAGACAGATTCCTTACCACATTGGTTTCTCTGGCCTCTGCTGTGCAAGTTGACAGAATGGTTTACCACCCTCTTTGATTTAAAAATCACCAATAAATACACGTTCAAAGAGAAAAGTCTTACCAGTTGTACTTGAGTTCCGTGTCTGCCTTTTTCCCAAGGCAGTATCTGTTATCACCAGCATTGAAGTGACAAACACTGTTGTTCTATAAGGATATGTATGTTACCTCTTGTGTGTGAAATAAAGGACCTTTAATTTATGTTCTGGGAGGTAACAGTATTTTGTATTTATTTGAACTAAAATCACATATCCGGTTTCTAATTTAGAATACTGAACAGTGTTTATGTCTACATATTCAGTGCATTTGCAGTTGGTAACTGAGCTTAACGGAATACTGCATCACTTTTAAAACTCCTTCTGCTGTTTCTATGAGTTCAGGGGGGAAATTGCCAGATTGGAAAAGAAGAAGAAAGGTGTTTTCCATTTCTTAAGGAGCCTAAACCAGCCTAGCTTCTGCCTTTGTTTTGCTTTGTGGTCTGTTGGCATCTTCACGGCCACCACTTCAGTGGTGTATGTGTACTTCTTAAGAGTCAGGTAACCTGTGCTCTGTCATCTGGCTTATTGTTTTTGTTGGGTTTATTTTCTGAGGTAGCAGAATAATGCTGCAAGATTATCTGTAAGATTGTCTATTTATTTAATCTCAAAGTTAAATCAAGTCAATCTTTGGGTTATTTCTAATGTATGTCTTAGGACTGTGTACTTTAGCATATGCAGTTTGTAAGCTCAGGAACATTTTCTTCTCATGATGTGTGATCTCTAGTATTGCTATCTTCCTACAGTTTTTGACAAAATAAATTAAATTTAGTTTTTTTTCTTGCTGTTGTCATTTTTGGGGAAGAAAACATCTTATGCTGTCAGCTGTAAGAGTGCAGTTTGTTGCTGTCCCATACACGAATGTTTTAGCACTGAGAGGACTGTAGTTGAGCAATCGTGAGGAAATCAAGTGTTTCCTATTCAGTTCATGGCAGATTGGAACTGCTATAATTAAGTGGGGCTCCCATCTACTGAAGCACACTGTAAACTCAGCCCTGATCTGAAATTTATCCTACAGTTAAGGAATCAAGCCAACAGACAGAATTCTGCTCTCTGTGACTCTATTCAAAGGTAGAAACGACAGCAGTGTGACTCATTTTAGCCTGCTTAAAAAAAAGTTGACAGGTCTGGACTTTACACAAATCCCAGGAACAGAAAGTAGGCAAAGTGACAGTGGTAAAAACACATGGATTTGAATACAGTTCAAATCATACATAGATTATAGCCATTTTTTTCTCTGCAACTGCAGTAGCAGGATGCTGGTTTTTTTTAACATTTGCATTTCGCTCCAGATACCAGAAAAACAGATGTATGCAGTGTGGGGAGCTGTCACACTGAAAGTCTTTTTAATTATTTAGGCTTTAAGCCTCGTGGATTGGGAAACTCAGAGGTTACTTCTGTTGTTTGGGTCTTTTTTCCTAAAAGGATTGAAGCTCAACAAAAACCCAAAGCTGCAATGCCAAACCTAAACAAAGGAACTAACAAGTTGGTGGTTGTGTGTAAGATTTAAACCACAGGCACTGAGATACGTTATCTGCTCAGTTTAGAGATGAGTTTGATTTTACAAGAACACTGCTGTCATTGGTTCATCTGCTCTTTAAAATTACCACAGTGAAAAGTTGGGGTTTCAGGAAGTGGAAGTGCAGCTCATTTCAGTGTTTGCATGGCCATTCAGGGAAGATGCCATATTCTTCCCCCATAGTTAAACATGTGGTATTGTATTAAAGCTTGAGATCACGTGTAGAAGGCAAACTCTTAGAGCTCCTGATGAAAGAAAACACTAAATTCAATTTAGTGTTCCACCTCCAGCTTTGTTTGGTCTATTTTCTATCTAGTTACAGCCTTGGAGAACCAAACCTTAGGAGGTAGAATGCTTTTATAGTCCTTTTCAGAAACACTTTCAATATTTCATGGAAAGAACAATAAAGTTATACAGACTGCAGAAGTCTATTTGTAATTGTAGTACAAAAATTGCATAGATTAGCATAAATGCAAATAACAGCAATAAAAGAACAGTTTCATATTTAAAGAACAAATTTCATTATTATCATGATATAATCAGTTCTACCTCTTTTCAGGAGACTTTTTTCTCATTAAGCTTTCACCTGCTGCTAGCTTCTTATATAAGTAGTGCAGTTTATCTTGTTGAGGTACTTCAGCATCTGGAGTTAAGGGAATTTCAAAGTCAGAGGAGCTCTGAGAGTCCCTCTTCAGTTCTAGATCAGGAGTCCTGGAGCTGTCACTTATTTCCACCAGCAGATCTTGAGCTGGAGCAGAGGCAACTTCTGCATCTTTGTCACAGTCCTCACTTTTCAACTCACAGATGACGTCAGAAGCACAGGATGGATTCTGGCCAAGTGGTTTCCACCTGCTGTCGTCAGCGTGGCTGTCCTTGGGGGTTTCGTGAGATGGCAGAGCTGTTCTGCTGCCACATCTGCTGAAGCAGCTGAAGTCAGCAGCATTTCTCTCTTGGGAGGTAATGAGTACAGTGTCCATTTGGCTATCCCAGCCCTGGCTCCCTTGTTCTGATATGTGTGTCGACTGAGAAGAATTTTGGGAGGAGATGTGAGTTGAGTCACTCACTCCATCCGAATCACTGAAGAGTGACTGGGACCCACCAGCATCTGCTGAAGATGGGAAGTTGTCCTCATTTTCAGAGCTTTCATCTACTTTGTTACACTTAAAAAACATATCCCAGCGAGGGATATCAGCATTAGACTCCTGCTGCTTGCCAGGTATGCCATTGCAACTTGCTATGGGACTGGCATCTGGCTCATGGGAAAGAACCTGAGCTGTGTTTTTTTCAGAATCATCTTCTTTGTCATCATCGTCGTCATCATCATTGGACTCCTCACAATCCATGAAGTCTACCTTGAGAGAGGTGTAAGTTGTGTTTGCTCTGTAGCTTTCTGTGCTCTCATCTGTGTTTCTGTCAGCATTTTCAGACAGTGCAGTTTTGGATGGCTTACTTCCTTCTCCCTGATATTTTGCAATCTTAGGCCTTGCAGAGGTTAGTTCTGTATCAAAGAGCTCATCTTCGTCTGACAAGGAAATTTTAAAAACAAAACAAAGCAAACAAAAAAACCCAGAAAATTTTGTTGAGAGCAAAGTCTGGACACAAGATAATTTAGTAAAGTTATTTAACTCAAAAGGAAGCTTAGCAGGACTTTAGTGAGCATGCTCACCTTGCCTAAAACCCTACAATCTACAGTAGTTAATTCTACCATTTTGGTTTCCATTACTCACAGTGTTACTGAATTCCATCAGAGCCTTCTTCATTGACTAGAGGCCTTAAGTTCTAGCATTCAGTTGGAACAGTGACTGCACTGGTAAAGGAGACTTCTCAAACAGTAACCCTCAGAGCCATTACTTGCCAAATCAGATACTTACAAGGAGAAGAAATACATCAGCAAAAGGTACTGTTTAAAGGAAGTAGGCTGCATGCTATTAGCAAAGTTATTTCTGCTTGCTAGACATAAACACAAAAACCAGAACTCTTTATACTAGAATGAGGAAAAATTTAATCATAGAAATAAAGAGGTCTCTAGAGCTGTCAAACAACTATGAAATTCTTGTTGCTGAAGGAACTAATGTAATTTCTTTCATGTTTTGAACAAGGGCTGACTCAAACATAAAGCCAACAGGTCAACAGTTCCAAGCTGGTAGGGCAGGTTCAGCTCTGGCCTTCATGTGCATGGTGCAGATCACACACACTGCTAGTGGATACTGATCCAGATTCGTTTATCCAGACCGCAGTCATGTTTTGCCAGGATTACATCAACCTTGCACAGCTGGCACTTCAAAAACAGCTGAAAAGAATACAGCAGGCCCAAAGTCATCCTCCAGTTATGGGGGTTTCCAGAGGCTTCATGGAGCACCCACTGCTGTATATAGCAACCACCAGGGTTTCAAAAAGAGGTGCTGAAAAGCCAGCTGTTCAGGATAATGAAGAGGACCAGTTCTTCAGTGTGAAATACCACACTGTCCTTCCACAACACAGGATGTGATGCAGAGAAGTTTAAAACTAGCCTTATTAGTGATAGTCTAGCATCGTGGAACAGAATGCTAAAAACGTGCAGGCTGTTAAGTACATTTTAGAACTGCAATTCAGTGCATTTTACTATCACCCTCCTGAAACCTGATTTCATTTAATTTCCATTTATCTTTTCCAGCTGCACTTTTTTTCTTGCTTTGTACACAAACCAGTGAGCACCGTGGCTTTTGGCACCTCTAGTCTCTGACTTTCATTTAGGGACAGTACCACTGTCAGAACTTCTCACCTGTATCAGATAAGGTTCTTTTGCAGGCTCTCTTCAGTGTTCCTAAGGGCTTGTACCTGGGTTCTGAGTTTCTCCTGTATGATCTGCATAACGGCTGTAATCTGAGGTAAATGAAGAAATCAGTACTGAGAACTCAGCGGATATTTTCAGGCACAAAAGCAACTCTTTTGACATTCATGCCTTTCACAGGCACTGCAGCAGAAGTGTGAAAGCAAATGCAGCAATAGGTGGGGGAAAGGTTGCCACTTTGGTGAGCTGAGACAGCTTAAAATGCTAGAAAAAAGATCTGACATTCTGATTTATTTACCTGAACGTATACAGCATTTGTAAACTACATTTTAGGCCTTTGGTTAGAGAAGATAAGATGACAGAGTTGAAAATCTGACTGCAGGTTTATTCAATTATTGCAAAGTATCTCCTTTCCTATTAGGGAAAAAACAAAAAGGAGCAAGAAACAAGCCCTCATTTTGTTCACGTTGTTCAGTATCACTGCTATTCTACTCCACAACACAACTAAGCTGCCACGACTTTTAACAGCATCTGACTACAGGCCTACGTGGTACTGTACATGGGTGCCTGCACAGAGACTGGGAGTTCAAAGTGCCCAAGGAAATTCCTTCTTAGAAACTTCTCTCAGAAAATAGCACTGACAAACAGAAACAGGTCAATAGGTAAAGAAAGTGGGATAAATGAATATTCAGATGCCACCCAAACACAGTTATCAAAAAAGCCTCTATACATAGATATAACTAAGAAAGAAGTTTAGAGAGTTGAATATAGATTAACAGAACTGCATTATCAGTAGAGCTAAGCAAAAGGCACTGGCCTGCTTGAAAGGCCGGGATTCAGGAAATTTGTGATCCTTACAAGGGCACGGATTAGGTAGCCTTCACTCACAAGTCAGCTTACTGTCACTTACATTTCCATAACTTTGTCTTCTGACCCACCCACTGGTAGTACGTTGGGATACACATTCACAGGACAGATATAGCTCAAAAAATCCTTAATCTAAATTGAAGAGAAGGAGGAACAGTTTAAGAAGTTGCATCAACAGTTAATAATTCCACTTAAAAACTGCACAGACACAGTAAGTGCTCTCCAGTTGTCTGATACAAAGAATGATATGACCCGTAAGTCAAACACTATAGAAGTGTAACAAGACAGGTCTGAAAGGATGCTAAGAATTCAGTCTCACCTAACCACCACACAGTATCACCAACTACACAGACAATCACCAGCTCTGAAAGAAAACATCTGATAAGCCAGTGATGATGACTCCAGCAAGTTCCCTGGGAACATGACTCAGTGCTTCACCATCCTCACTACTGCAGATCTTATCAGCCTTGCTTTCTTCCTACTGCACTTTGAGTCTTTACTTTTTGCAGATGAGAACATCCCTTTCAGTCTACTCAGTACTGCAAGTATACAAACCTCACTGTATGAAGAGTGGAAAGAGAAACAAGCTCTGTATGTACTCTCTCCAGTCCTACAAAAAGAAAAATAAGAGGCATATAAATTAGCTGGTTTTCAAGCTCACCTAACAGGCAAGATTAATTTAATCCATAAAAGTCCATTCTGAGATTCAGTTATATAAAACTTAGGCAAGACACACTCCTAAAATAGATTTCTGTATGGCCTAATGCTCATAGAATCACAGAATGGCCTTGGTTGAAAAGGACCACAATGATCATCCAGTTCCAACCCCCTGCTATGTGCAGGGTCACCAACCAGCAGACCAGGCTGCCCAGAGCCACATCCAGCCTGGCCTTGAATGCCTCCAGGGATGGGGCATCCACAGCCTCCTTGGGCAACCTGTTCCAGTGCTTCACCACCCTCTGTGTGAAAAACTTCCTCCTAATATCTAACCTAAACCTCCCCTGCCTCAGTTGAAAACCATTCCCCCTGTCCTATCACTGTCCACCCTCGTAAACAGCCATTCCCCTTCATGTTTACATGCTCCCTTCAAGTACTAAAAGGCCACAATGAGGTCTCCCCAAAGCCTGCTCTTTTCCAAGCTAAACAAGCCCAGTTCCCTCAACCTTTCTTTATAGGAATGCACACCTCACTATTACATTGGCTTTCTTGATCCTTTCTCCAAACCACATAGTGGAGGGTTTGATGCTAATTACATGCAAGGGAGTTCCATTTTGGCAAGTGATTCCACAGGGCAGTCTGTTCCCTCGAAAATAGTCATCATCCTGTCAAATACAAAATCAAATTAAGTCCAATCTTGATATTTTCCCAAGGAAATTAAGCCACACAGTATCTAGCCAAACCAAATTTTCACTTCCAGTTCTTTTGAATACCGACTCCTCTCTGTTGCATTCTGCTTTCAGAGCTGACAAAGCAAAATGAAGAGCAATGCCCCAGTGCCATCTACAGTTCTACTTGCCACTCTGAAGCCTTCAGCTTCAGACACGTTGGAAAGGGAGGGCCATGAATTAAAGCACACAGTGCGTGGCTGCAGGAGGCATCATACAGACTGGTTTTGATATATGAAGATGAACAGTACCTGACTGATTCAGTCTGTTGTTTGTCTAACTTCATTTAACGAGTTTCAAAATGCAGTTCAACTATTTCTAGCATCAGCTATTATATTTTCTAATTAAAAGAAAAAAAAAAGCCTTAACCTGCTAAAATTCTCATTTTCTACTGCATCAAGCAACTATTTGGGCCAAGTTTGCTCTAGGATAGCAACAAAACATCTACAATCAGTTCTTCATAGCAAGATTAGCAAAGGCTTTCTAAAATGATGCACACCTTAGGATGTCGACAGGCATGAATCTGAGTGTATCGGTCTGTAGTTATATGGCAGAGGATTTCTGGCATGTTTTTGAACATATCAAGCCTATTCACGTGCACCTACAAAAAAAAGGCAAAGTTTACTCTTAATTAGCTGGCTGTGTTTTGCCAAACTGCAGCTAGAGCACAGACATGGTTCTGCTCTCAACAAATGCCAGTAAGGAATTATTAATGGGTAATTTGTAAATACGCAAGTGGGGAAGTGTCTTGGATAGATGGAACAGGCAGAACGAACCTCCTGTGCTCCAAAGGGCTGAGCACTGATCAGAGAAAAGTAGAATGCATCTGCTATTTATGTTGTGCAAATGAGAAGAATTTTACAAGGTATAAAGGAGAGAGGTAAACGCTGAGCTGAAAAATGGGGATTAACTTCTCTCTTGAGAGTCTAGACGTTCCAGGAGATGTCACACTCTGAAACCAAATAGTTAGCTCACTTCTGAGCACAACTGTAGGCTTTTTTTAAGCACGGTGTGCACACCATTCACATACAGTAGTTCTCTGAACGGCCATTTCCAGTTCAGTTCACAGTTATTACGCAGCATCTGTTCTAAAACAGTTACCTTGATTCCAAGCTCCTCACTGAGGTTTATGAACAAATACTCATATCCATAAGCAGCTTTGCAGTTCAGCCACACAACATGACAGCGACTGAGCGAGGTCCAGCTCCGCACTAACTCTAAGATCCCATTTAAACACTCCTCCTGAAAGGTGTAGAAAAGCACTGTGATTTGTCTCACAAGCTATCTGTAAAGTGCTATGATTTGATAGGCAACATCACATTTTCAAGATTTAACTAAAACAAAAAAAGGCTCATTAACTTATTAGTGGCTTTAGGACCTTTCACAGCCTATTTAGACTTACCCTGCTTGGTATATGATAAAATCTAGGATCACAAAAAGTGGTGTCCAAATAAACACTCTGGATATCTTTTACTCTGAAAGAGAAATGTGATATTAGAGTGAGCAGTGCATTGCAGCACTAAGATATACTACTTCCTCTCTCCTCAAAAAGGATGTGATTCTTCCTCTTCATTACAAAGAACAAGTCAAAAGAAGCTTGCAACTGAACTCCTTACTGCAAATATATTTAATAAATACATATATATATATGAAATAATTCCCAAATTGCCCATGTTCATATGATCTTTCATTCATTTTAAATCCCACAGATAGACTAAACTCACCAAGAACTGAATTAAAATGCTACTGTTTTTTCTCATACCTGGTCCCTGAATGCAAAAGCTCCATTCTGGCTGCTTCTCCTTTTGCAAGCCTGAAATCCCCTGTATACAGCACAGTGCCATTTTCACCTTGAAACAGAAACCTACAAAGAGAAACACTTCCATCAAACTTAATAAACAGCATTAACTGTCATTTGTTACTTTGCTCACATATGTCTGTGTGAGCAGAATATGGCATAACAGAAAACACGGGGCTCAATTTTGTCCTCGAGTAATTTCAGGCAAACTCTGATAATAATTCAGTCAGTGTGGGTGGGATAACCCAGCTATTCACTGCATCCACAAGCACACCATCTACTGAGAACTTTGTAGGACAAATCTCCCAGCAGAAACACTTAGAATATTGAATAGGACATACATGACTGATCCTGGACAGTGGCCAGCTGGCAGGAGTGTCACCTCTATATCTTCTTTCTGCAACAGAGGGGTTAGCATTATTTTCACACTGGAACGAATACTACTGGTACTTTTTCTGACAAAGTGCAAGCAACTCTCCACAGCCACCTGCATCACTTCACAGTGATTTTGAATGAAAAGACAATCTCTTCACATCACAGCCAACCCTGGAGAACAACAACCATCCTCTCATGGCAGAAGAGATGACTGAACGTTGGTGCTGATGAGAGTCAGCCAGAAGACAGTCCTACTTCTTTGGTTCCTAGCAAACAAACATGGAAACATCCTGGGATATGCTTTGCCTGGAGATGATCTACCAGACCTACAAGTTCTACACTTAAATATGTGATGAAAAGTCACAGAAACAGTGCATAAACTTGAGATCCCTAATACAGAGGAAAGGCATTATCAGAAAAAGCACTCTGATAATAAGAAAAGCAGAGAAGAACTCATGTGGTTACACACTGTGGAGGAAAGATGGAGAACATATATTTTAAAATAGCTTGTCACTTCTGATGTTACAGATAAACTTTACTATCCATTACAAACATACGATTTTTCTTTTTTTGTAACTTACTTCACCAGTTGTTTCATCTACTAAAGAAATCTGAGTAGGAGTTTCAACTTCCAGTGCAACCTGTAACAGTGAATAAATGCATCACAGGATTTAATGAACATCGTGCTTCACATTTGAATAAAATTTCATTATGTAAACACCTAAGTAGCCAATATCTAAATAGTAAAATTAAGCTGGCTTCCTGTAGAAAGTCATACATTTCTGTTTCCAGTGGATAAAAAGGTTCATTTCTAAAAATGGAACACAGATAACTCAATCACTGTGTGCACACTTAAAAAAGTATGTTGGACTCTCAACAGTAAGCAGCCACACTTCTCTGGTGGGATCACGTGCCTTGTTTTTAAATAACTGTAATGCTCAGCTCCCCAGTCCCAGAGCACACCAGTGATCTTGCAAGGTTAGGACTCCGTGCTGCAGCACAACTTCTCCTCACTGTTCCTTATTACCAGAAGCAGAGTTCACCAACTGCACGCAGCAAGCCTTCCTGCGCTTCTATAGCGGAGATTAATTTACAGATGGCAATTAATCTCCCTATTTTGGCATGCCCTATCTTAACTCAGAGTCCTCCAACATACGTGCTTTGTGCCTCTCCCATCATATTTGTATACAGCTGTTTTGCCAAGAAAAAGCCAAAGTGAAAGACTCCTGTCATCACCCCTCTAGGTCTGACCTCCAGCTTCTCAGCTCAGCAGCCCGCTCAGAGCAGTTTTATTGGGTTTTACTGCATGACTGGATTCACAGAACACCCCAGCCCAAATTTCTAGGCAGTTCCAAGTGATCCATCCAGCAGGTACGCACAAAAGCTGAGAACGTATGGCTTCTCCACCACAAACAAAAATGCTTATCAATCAGACAACTGTCAGACTCACAGACTGCTCCAAAACACAGATATACACGTCAAAAAATATTTTATACTAAGAATTCAAACCATTTGGAATTTAAAAATTAAAAAAGAAAACTCACTATGTGATTCTCCCAAAACTCATATTTTGAGTTAGTCAGTAGCAATTCCTTAGTTACTGGAGAGCAATATAACTTAACTTTCAAGCTGTAAGGAGAAGGAAGAAAGAAAAAAAAAAAGATGAGCGCTTTTGTTTGTGTTCTTTTTAAGCAGAGGCAAGGAGCAATCTAAAGATGCATCAGTAGCCAGCACCAAGCACACCAAAACACACACACAGCCCCTCGTCACCCAAAAAAGACCCACAGAACAGCAAGCCAGCAGTAGCTGTGCTGCACCAACCTGAAGTGGGATCAGGAGGAGCTGCTGCACCTTTGCAGAGCAGGCTTTTCTTCAATGCAGCAGACCCAAAATCTTACCTACATGTGTCTGTGCACGTGTATTTTTATGCAGGCATGAATTAAGCATGTTGTAGGCGGTCACATGTATGGATATCACTGCTTGTTTGCACACACACCAAGGTCTGCTCCAGATGTATATACTTTCCCTGGAATGCACTGGCACAGGTTGCCCAAGGAGGCTGTGGATGCCCCATCCCTGCAGGCATTCAAGGCCAGGCTGGATGTGGCTCTGGCAGCCTGGTCTGCTGGTTGGCGACCCTGCACACAGCAGGGGGTTGAAACTAGATGATCACTGTGCCATTCTATGACTCTATGATTAGGCACCTGGGACAGTTTGCAGCCAGCAGAACGGAAACAGAACAGATCCTACAAAGCTCTGGCTTTTGCACAGCACACAAAGAGAGCTGGTGATCAAAGCGATTCTTTGCTTGTAGTTGAGGAGATGCAACATGCGCTCTAATAGCTGAGCACCCCGGGCACTGACACTCCGTTATCTCCGCGTTCAGCTGCTGGGCTGCTTTCACTGCTGCGCTGCTGCTCCATACTAGCTCTCTCCCATACAATTCAATACCTGCTCTGCAGCCTCCTCCTCAGGGCGGGCGCCCTCAGCCCCTTCATGTGATCTGAGGAGAAACGGCACGGCGGTCAGGGCGGGAATGGCCGCAGGGTGGGGGAGATACCCTAGAGACGGGCGGGAAGGAGGGGCGGCTCACCCTTGTGGCAGTGCGACAGGAAGTAGGCGCGCGCGCGCAGGTTGTCGTGGTCGAAGCGGTCGATGGACAGCTGAGGGTATTCGCGCAGCCGGCCCCCGAACCGGCTCATGGCGGCCGCTTCCGCCTCGTTGCGCCCGCACCGCCTCGGCCAATCGGGAGGAGAGCTCGCCTCCTGCCAGCCAATCAGAAGCACGCGGAGGGAGAGGCGGGAGCAAGGGCTTAAAAGGGCAACGGCGGGAGGCGGTTGCTTAGAAACGGCGCGGCGCGGCGCGGCAGCCATTGGTGCTGTGAGGAGGCGCCGCCGTCCCGTCCCGTCCCGTCCCGTCCCGTCCCGTGGTCTCTGAGGACAGGGGCGTGGATGTGCGAGCGGGCTGTGTGGTGGTGGTAGGACTGAGCGTCATGGTGATGACACGGGGATGAAGTCGTTCGTGGTGGTGGTGGCTGTAGAGGGGCTGGTGTTGGTGTGGTGGCTGTGGGGTTGTTTTGGGGGTGCTGTGTGGAGACCTTCCTTAGGTGGGATGCGGCAGGAATTGCGTCGGTTGGGGCTTGGCTGCCTTTAGGCCTCGGTCTTCAGAGCAGGGTTTGGATCTCATGGTTGGGTGGTGGGAGCCTTGCTCTGCCTTCATGCTGAGCTCTGCCTTAGAAGCTGTGGATGCAAGGTATATTCTGAGCAGCTTGTCTCTACTGTTGGTGGCGGTGACTGTTTAAGTGCAATCTTCTGTTGTACAAGTTCTGTTCTTTTCTATTGTGAATTTTAAGGAAACGGAAGGAAGAAACTTGGGGAAAGAAGCGGCATTGAGGAGTAACTGATTTAATGAGAGGCAAATACACAGCTTCAGTCACTTGAAAGAAGTACGTAGTCAGTTACTTCTCGTTTCTCCACTTTTGGTAGTGCTTAATATTGTTAAGCCAGGCACCAAAGACTTCAAATCAGGGAGTTCTTCTGTTCCAGTGCCTCAGAAGCAGCCTGCTATGTTTCATTTTCCAGTAGGTAGCTGGTATGAGAGTAACATTCCAGTTAGTGTGCCCGTTCTCACATGTATACGGCCTGAAAGCGTGCACAGACTGAAAATAGTGCATTTACTGGCACCCATGTAAATATAAACAGCACTTATATAAATGTGAATTATGCAGGCCATTGGTCAGATTTTCCCTCTTCAGCTGATCAGGACTGAGGTTCACTTATGAAGTGTCCACACTTTGTTATAAATATGCGTGCATTCACAAATCTTTCAAATATTAGCTTTTTACACTGGTATCTGTCTCGTCTGACAATTTCCCATATGTCCAATAGTTCTTTCATGTTCTCGATGAGAAAGAAAAGAAAAAGAAGAAAAAACTCTGCAAATGATTTAAAAAAAAAAACAATACAAAACAAAAAAAACTTTACTATGCAGGTGACAGAGTGCTGGCACAGCTTGTCTGGAGAATTTATGGATTCTCTTTCCTAGGAGATCTTTAGAAGCTGCTTGGATGTGATTTGGGGCACTCTGCTCTGGGTGTCCCTGCCTGAGTGGGGGCTGGACCAGATAGACCCAGAGGTCACTGCCAACCTCATCCATTCTTGGATTTTGTTCAGTCAGGGTAGTATCAGGCCAAGGCCTAGATGCCTGCCTGAATACCTTGGAAAATTCAAAGGTTCTCATGTGAAGACTGTTGAAATCATTGGACATATCTCAGCAACTTCTAGGGCCCTAGATTGTCCCTATGAGTGCTGACATATGAAAGCATTAAGGAAATAACACACACAGGCCCAGGCTGGTTTGGATACCATTGAAATTAAGCTGTCACTGATCCTAAAAAAAAAAAAAAAAAAAAAAAAAAAAAAAACCTCAAAGCTGAAACAGAGGTATGTGGAATCTCGCCATTTCCTCTGAATTAAGAGTAGGCAAACGTTGTTTTAGCAAAGTTCACTTCACTGTTCAATTACACTCTGCATAAAAAGCACTAGTATTTTGCTTAACACTGTCCTGCATTCTTTCACTTACCTTCAGCTGTCTGCTGTCTTTTGTTTTTTTTTTCCCTGAACTGTAGACTGTCTGGAGTGCGGCTCATCTTGTGCTATTGTACAATGAGACCAGCTCTGTGCTTGGAACTCAGGGGCACCACAGTAGGCAAAGAGTGCCGTTTCTAAAAGGTTGAAATATCAGCCTAAAAATACCAGGATTTATTTATATTTTTGATTATTGAGGTCACCAAGCTGACACTTAATGTGATGCTTACACGTGTTTTGAGCAGGAAGACCTGTGGGAAGCAATCCAAAATAATGGTGAGTCAGGAAATGCCAAGTGCGTCGAGATGTCTTGAAGAACCGCATTCATCAGATGAAGTCAGCACATCCTCCAAAGAAGTACTTAAGCCCAGTGACATGTAAGTTATCATAAGATGCTTAATATTATTATTAATTTAAGAGCTAATGCCATTACTTACAGTATGGTCTTTCTCATGTCCCAGATTGACAGTGGCTCTCTAACATAAACAGCATATGCAAAATTCTGTAGTGCTACAAAAGGGCCCTTTGCAGCAAGAGATCAAAGAATTATCTTGAGATAGCAATACTACACTACGGACTTACAGTAAGGATATATGCTGAGCATCTAATTTGTATCTGACACTTCGTAAGTGGGTGTGAAAATTACTTTTTTTCTTTAATTATTATTACTAAATGGCTGTCTTCAATTACAAAACACCAGTAAGAGCTGCAGAGCCCTTAGTGCTTAATGTTTGGAGTGCTGAGCTGCAAGAAATAGATCAGTGTTGCTAGAAGAGAGACTTTGTGCATATTTTTTATTGATCTTTAATGAAGCATATGCAGTCAGGGATGAAAGGCCCTTTCTCCTTTCCGGATGGCTCATATGTTATATGACAAAGATGCAGATTTCCACATTGCAGTAGCAATTCTGCAGTTTTTTCTCTACTGCTCTTTTTAACTGGCTAATTTGATAAGCCACCAGCTTTCAACTTTTGGAACTCTCAGTTGACACTGGAACTTGCTAAGTAAGGAAATTCTACCTTGTTTGCAAAAGGGTTTTGTGTGGGAGAGAGTCGGAAGCATCAGTAAGATTTTGGTTGGGCAAGCACTGACTAAGATGAATGTTGGTAGATTTTGTGCTTTTCTTTCTTACCCCATCCAACTGATTTCTTAGAACCAGTTCTTTGGCATCTTCACTGTGGCCATATGACTGGCAGTGCATTCCTTCCTTCTGTTCCTCACCTGTCCTGAATGTTTCATTTTGTGCTTGCCATTTTGGTGTTCCTTCAGTAGGAGGAAAGAAAAACCTGAAAAATTACCTGTCTCAAAGGAGCAGTGACTGTGGAGATGTGAAATTTGAAACAATTTCTTTCTTTGTTATTTTATGCATCTCTGTGCACCAGTAAATTTTAGGCAGCGCTCTTAACTCAGGGTGGCAAAAATATCACAACAGTTTCCTAGATAGAAAAGTATGGGTGTCATGGTTTTGAGATTGACTAGTGCATTTCTGATTACATTTCTGATTGTTTATAATCATTATTTGCCCAAGGAGGCTGTGGACGCCCCATCCCTGCAGGCATTCAAGGCCAGGCTGGATGTGGCTCTGGGCAGCCTGGTCTGGTGGTTGGTGACCCTGCACACAGCAGGGGGTTGAAACCAGATGATCATTGTGGTCCTTTTCATCCCAGGCCATGTTTTTTTGTTGTTGTTTTTTTTCTTTTTTAACCTCAGACTTGGAGAGGAAGACATTGCATTGTTTGTACTTTATTGATTCAATTTTGTTCTACCCATCCCTGTTTCATCCTAACAAGAACCCTTGCTTTTGTCTTCTCTACTTCCCTTTCAAAAATCTAATTTCAGGAAAATGTCAGAAGTTTCTGCAGCCATGTCTAAAGCTGACATCAAGCCAAAATCTAGCTGCCATGCCAAACAATGGTCAGATGAAATAGAGAACTTATACAGGTTCCAGCAAGCTGGGTACAGAGATGAAGTTGAATATAAACAAGTGAAACAAGTTGATACGGTAAGATTTAAAACTCTGCAGGAGTTCTTACACTGAATTCCTCTCTGATGTTAAATTATTAAATAAAACTGAATGTGCCTCTTGTTTCCTGTAGGCTTGTTTCTGATACAGTTTTTTCTCCCAGATCTGACTTGAATTCTCGTGCAGTTGTTAGCTGAGCAGAATAATTTATTTTACAGAAGGAAAATAGAAACACAGGCCAGCCTGGTTTTGTTCCTTAGGTCTTACACGTTTACAAATATCACCTAGATTTCTTTGAAGAGATGTAGCTGTTGTCTGAAAGACTAATTCAGTTTTGAGGGAAGGAATATATGAAAAGTAATTCTCTGCAAAGTCTCCCCACATCTCTGCCAATGGCCCTGAGAGGAAATGCATTCATTGTCCAGGAGCTCAGTCCTGTGCTATTGCATAGCAGCATAATCAAATGTCATGCACACTCCAAATTTGGTTTCTATTGAATCTGACCAAAGTAGAAATATCTGAAGGCAGTTGTGTTACAGGGAGTTGTGTTACAGGCATTTGTCAACAGAGCACATCTAGGACTTGGTCTTCTGTTCATTGCAGTTGATGGCAAAACTCCCTAGCACATCAGATGAGATATTCAGTGGTTTCCTGAGATTCAAAAGAGCAAATAATGTGTTACCTGCATTGAATTTCTGTAATTGGTCTTCCAAAGCAACATATATAATATGAAACATACAATTTTAAAAGATCTTAACCTGCTGTGTACATAAATGCTGCAATTAGTGTGGTAGGATGAGTCCATTCAAGATTTATGGCAGTGTGTAACCACACGCAATTAAATCCTCATAAAAGCTGAAGAGCATCACTTATGCTGATTTAAAATGTGTGTTCTGTTGAAGCTTGCCAGGATCTGGTGGTTCTTTTCCAGCTTACACATTTTGAAATGTTGTATTTACTCCATATTATGCTTCCTGACTGCAGTTATGATTAATGATGCAATTACAATGTAGTTGTAACAAATGTTAAAGCTCTTATCTTCAGACAGAGCATGCACATAATTCAACTGTATGCCAAAGTAATGCAGAATTAAGCTACTGCTTCTGGAACTCTCCATTCAGAGAATGCTGTACTTCAATATCCTATTCTCAGCTCTGCCTGGAATTGATGGGATTCTTATTACTTGATTTTTAAGGATTGGGCTGATCAGAAGTAATCACAGTTGTTCAAACTGGAGGTAGCTGTCAACACCATAAAGCTCTCAAACTAATGACATGAGCACTTGTATGTTCAGAGCTTCACAAAATGAATAATGAACAGCACTATGATGGTGCTGGTGTCCTGCAGGACTGATGCTGCTTATTCCGAGACTTCTCTGATCAAAAAATTATTTATATTAGATCAGAAAACTGTTTCCTAACATCTGGTTCTCAATCTTTTTTAATACTTAAGGAAACTAATGCAAAGTCTGTTCAGAAACACTTGTTTTCCCATAGAACTGTACCCTATATTCTCTACAACATGGGGCACAAGCATCACTCAGTGCAAACTTGTTCCAGTGAATGAATATCCTTTTATTTTCTTTGTAGGTAGAGTGTTGGCCAGAAACTGGATTTGTGAAGAAGCTTCAGAGAAAGGACAACACCTTCTATTATTACAATAAGCAAAGAGAATGTGAAGACAAAGATGTTCATAAAGTGAAAGTTTATGTATACTAATTTTGCTACTTTCCAAAGTTTGTACATTTTAAAATAAATCTTTTTGTTATGATTTGTAAGAGAATGAGATTTGTATAACCCAGCATTCAAAGCATAAATGTCATTCTCGGATAGAATGGGGAATACAGAATGTGTTCCAAATAATTTGATATCAAAAAGATAAAAAGCTGCAAAGGGACTTTGCGTATTTGGTTTGACTGTGCAAAGTCCATTATAAGTAGGCTCATTAATCTTTACTCTGAACAACATAATCTTGTCGATATCAGCTGCAGTCTCTTGGTGTAACTGAGGGCTGTGAGGCTCCCAGTAAGTCCAAAAGGCGAATTGTAGTAATTGTAGTGCCGTGGAGAGGAGGAACAACGAGCAGAAATCTTTATTGTTTTAGTCTGCTGTTTATTTAGTTACTGTTGTGTCAGATCTGTTCCCCAGCATGTTTGCTTAGCGTTTCCCTTTCTGCCCTCAGCAGCCCAATTTAGGAATCCTCCCTCAAACGGCTCTACTCAAATAAACTTTCTCACACTCTGTGTTTATCACTGAGACTAACCAGGTCTGTTTCTTTTGATTGTTTCCTCATTTGGAAGTTCTTGATCAGATAACCCTGCTGGAATAAACGTTCTCACTTCTTGTTAATGAGGGCAACCCACCAAGTTTGTTTCTGGTCACTATCTTTGTTAACACTAATGGGTCAGGGTTTCTGTCTGTAAGTGCTTGTTCTTTTTGTTTGCCTCATCATCCCAATGTCTTGAGGCCTTTACCCAATTGGACATCAAATAAACTGTCTCACACACCACATATCCTGACAGCATTCATTGATTTGGAAGGTTATGCTGTTTTATGGAAGAAAGAAAAAAAAAAGAATTGTGGATTTACATACAGTGGGATCAGGGAGTACGAAACTGCAGAGAGCTTGGAAAACATCCCAAGTAATATTTAAGTTTAGATAACCTACTTAAATGAAAAGGGGGGTTTCTGGGCAGAATTCGTCTTGCTTACCTTCAGATATCACCTTGTCAGTATCTACAGCTTCTCATTTTACAGCCTTTGTTCTGAACAGAGGACGGCACAACGCAATTCTTGTCGATGTTGGTATGCAGCACCAGCCTCATAGTTACCTTCACTTGAAGTATAATGCTTGAATCCACCCAAATGTGGGTAAGTGACCTGCTGAAGCTGACTCATCTGAACCAGTGCTGTGTTCATGGTAGTTACAAATAATATGTTATCAATTCCTCCTGTCTCTAGACTAAAGCTCAGGATAATCATCTCAACCAAGTTTTAGGCATGGATGTGGATGCTGGCAGGAGGACATTATGTGTGGCAGTGTACATTTTAATATCTAAGGGTTATTCTTCACTTGAAAGTAAGGCGTAGGCCAGCTCAACATGCAAAGTAAAGGGTCACAGTAAGCAGCATAGATACAGCGTTCAAAAGATCTTCTTGTCAACAGGTGGCAGTGTTCCAGTCACCTTATTGAGATGGCTTGGAGATTTTTAGCCTAGATTTGTATGGACTGTGTTAGAGAAACAACTGGAAGGGACTCAGAAGCAGCTGTGAAGCTTTTTGCTCCAGGAAGGTCATTGTGTTGTACAAGCAGAGTTCTGCAGTGACAGCCACAAAGCATTACTGCGGTAAATTTTAGTTCTCTTCCATTCTCCTTTTTCCTTTTGTTTGCTTTGTGCATACTTCATAAGAGAGGCCTTTTTTGTGCTTTGCAAACAAACAGCAGGAACAGAACAATTACGATCCATCCATTTTTTCACGTTATGACTGAGGCTCTCCCTTTTTCCACAGAATCCAAAACAAGAAATCTTCCAGTGGAGATGGAAAGAGACATTTCCAGGTAGACATTTACAGGTAGATAAACTTACCAGCAGAAAGGACTGAATCATTGCCATCAGCACGCACACAGTAAGTGAGAATTAATTTGGTGCTATAAATCTATAATAAAGACAGAGTTGGGTATTGAAGCAGAATTAAAACAGCAGGAAAGTTTTTAAAGCTTAATTATTATTATCTTTTTAAATAAAAGCCTTTTTAAATTGAAACAAATGTAAAAGATTATTCTGTGTTTCCCTCGTTTTATCTGCTGGCACCAAATGTTTTTGCAGTGCAGCAAATTTTTTCTGCATTATGCTTTAAAACAGTGAGCACGCATTTCATACAGCCCACGAGGGCTGCTTTTCGGCTCAGACAAGTAGGACAGCAATTCACACATTCCACTTTGGAAAGGCTTTTTTTTTTGTATGAGTTGGCAGATTCCTCATGCTTAAAGAGAGCGAGCAGCCTAGATTTCATTACTAACATTTTTTCTGTTCTGTGTGTGTTGAATCTCACTGTCATATTTAAAAGATTAACGGGGTGAAAGGGAAAGAAAAGCCCTGTCATCAGTGCAATTTTTTGGCATAGCTTCAATCAGCCCCGATGCCACATTTGAAAGTTCACGCACTCCATTACCAAAAAAGCAGGTCTGGTATTGATGGTGACAGCTTCAGCTAGACTTGTCCTTTGGCATCCAGATTGTATTCATACTGCAGTACAATTTGTGCCAAATTTAAGGTTATTGAAACCATTTTGAAGACCTCAGCTGTGGAACGCCCTAGCTGTGAAGCCAAACAGTTTCTTTTCTGCTGAAAGAGAAACAGATATTGGGGCTCTTGCCTGAATTCAGCTTTGTCTGTGATCACAAGATGACATTAATCTAGTGTAAGGCTGCTTGCTTGAGCTATTTGTCCTGAAGTGGATTTGGTATTCAGCTCTGCTTGCTGAGGAGGACACAAGGAGCAGCATAACCCAGGTGCAAGGCTGCCTGTCAGCAAGGTCGAGCTGCCCAAAGTCCGAGGTACTCAGGCTCATTCTAATTCACTTTGTGGCTGTGTAGCAGACAAAGATGGATGCTCCCTGTATTTGCTGAAGCTCAGAAGAGGTGCTAAAACAATCCTTTCCAACACCTACTTTTTGGGCTTTTTGTTTGACAGTTTCAGATGAAATGGCCAGGGTGCAAGCCCTCAGGTCACGCTGAGGAAATAAAGCTGTGTTTTTGTATTTTAGGCTGTTTTTCAACGTTTTCAGCCTTTCCTTGAATTCATTCTGCAGCCGTATTGTCTGAAAGTGATTCTACAGCTGATTGCCTTACAGTCACAGCAGCTGGGCTTCCACACCAACTACCAGTGCAAGCATTTCACTGTTCACTTCAGTGGACAGTTCCAGTTCTGAAGGCTTTCGAACCTCAACCTTTTCCACTCATAAACATCATTTCCTACCTTCAAGTTGTTGGAAATAGCTTCAAACTTTGTTAAAGAGAACTTTAACTCAGCAGCTGCTGATGTCACTGTGCCTCACGTTGAAAAAAGTGAAGCCCACCTGGAGGCAGTTTGAGTGGAACTGCTGTATTTTCTTTGCAGGTTCTCTCATATTTCCCTGGTTCCACAGCACTCTTCCATACGCTGCAGCTATTTGTGTTAGGTGCTGCCAGCTCATAGGTGGTTTTGTGAACTCAACCATGGAATCATAGAACGTGTCGAGTTGGAAGGGACACACCAAAGGTCATTGAGTTCAATTCCCAGCTCCACACGGGACCATCCAACATTCAAACCCTATGTCTGAGAACATTTGTCCAAACACCCCCTGAACTCAGGCAGGTCGGGGCTGTGCCCACTGCCTTGGGCAGCCTGTTCCATGCCCACTGACCTCTAGTGAAGAAACTCCCTCAAATATCATAAAATAACCCATAATATTCATGCTAATCATGTTAACAGTTATAAACAAAGGCTGGATTAATTCTTTTCATTGCAACCATTTTCAACCAAATACACCACAAATTCTTTCATTGCAAAGCATTTTCAACCACATCAACCAGGAATTCTGGCTTTTGTACTTATCTCTGTTATCACTTGCCTGTTAATATTTGTGTGCATGCTTAGTTCAGCATTATCCTGATATTTGTTATTTCTGTGATTCTGAATTGCCCTTAACCAACATCCCATTGGCCCAGGGCATAGAGACAAAAGGAAAGGAATGTCTAAAAAGAAGAGGTCAAGGGAGGGAAGGATAAGTGCGTGTAGGGAGTCAGCCACAAGATGCACAGAGTTTTGGTGAAGCCTTGGCCCAGGCTGCCCAGAGAGGTGTGGATGCCCCATCCCTGGAGGTGCGGAAGGCCAGGGCCCCCCTTGGGCAGCCTGATCTGGTGGGGAGCAACCAGCCCACAGCAGGGGATTGGAGCAGGATCTGCTTTAAGCCCCCCTCCCAATCCAAGTCATTCTGTATCTCTGTGATTCTATGATCTGGTACCCACACAAACCTCCTCCCACACTGGCAGTAGTTCCACTCTGGCTGGCTGGGAGGCGGTCCCGGCTCCTTGCTGCAGATGTTAGTCAGGAGCCTTGGCAGGAACACCCAAACGCCTCGTCCAAAGGCACAGCGCCCTGCCTGGGCTGCTCTGTTGGCAGGGACAGGGCACGAAGCAGGGCATCGCGTGCGGCTGCTTCTTTGGGTTTGCTCAGTGTGCTCAGGAGGTGTCAGATCGCTAAGGAACATCGTTACACCTGCAACTACAGAGACAGATTTGTTTAAAAGTCACTGGATTCATACTTTGTCAGGGCAGAGCACTATTTCAATAGAGAAGGGAGATTTATGTATCTGGAGGATGAGTTCAGATACAGGATCAGAGAATCATTAAGGTTGGAAAAGACCACTAAAATCATGCAGCCCAACCATCAGCCCACCCCCACCGTGCCCACTGACCTCATGTGGCCTCAGTGCCACATCTGCACGTTTCTTGAACACCTCCAAGGATGGTGATTCCACCACCTCCCTGTGCAGCCTGTGCCAATGCCTCACCGCTCTTCCTGAGAAGAAATTCTTCCTCATATCCAACCTGAACGTCCCCTGGCACAACCTGAGGCCATTCCCTCTCATCCTATGGCTGTTACTTGTGGAAGCAGCTGGTGTGGGCTGGAGCACCTTCCCCTGCTCTCCACAGGGAAGCTCACAGCCATGCCTCTGCTCATAGCCTGCCAGGAAAATGAAGAAAGGGAAGAGCTGGATGCTGCTGCATTGCTTGTGCATGTATTGCATGCAAAAGAGGGAAAATTTCATTATTCTTATTTACATTTAATGAAGTATTTCTCTGTCTGAAGATATTCCTCCCCCCCCCCCCAAAATAAAGTGATTTCTGTCGATCTGCCTTCAAATGCTGTGACTTTCAGTTGAGATTTCATGATGGGAAGAAGCAGATGGCAAAGCCAGCGAGGGATGCCATGGGATGGGGCTGCGTGCTGGATCTGTGAGCCCACGTCTCCCTCTGCTGACTGCCTCCTGGCTCCCGCAGCTCCTTCCTTTATCGTAGAGGATAAAAAGGCGGTGATTTTTGTTACTGTTTTTTCTATTGCTGACGGATGAACGCCCTCCCCACATCCCAGCTGGTGACCACAGCACATGTGCAGAAAGGAGCTCCTCACATCAGCCCGCAGCACCGGGTGCCAGTGTGTGTCACCTTAGCAATGCTGAGCTCACTTTGGGTCTCAGTGCACTGGATCTTTCCATTCACCGTGAAACAATGCATGAATCCTCAGCTACAGGAAGATGTCCACTTACAGTAAGGAAGAGACTCAAGGCAAGCTGCTATAAGCCAGGGGAAGCAAGAAAGAACCCTTTGCTGGGTTACTGCATTTAAGATGGATTATGCTAGAAATGCCCATGCAGAATTTGGAATTTGTTTTCTTTTTCAGTCTGAAGGTGTCTGCGATTCCACTCAGCGCCATTTCAGAGACCCTTACATGCATCCATGAGTACAGCTAGCCCTGGTAACTGC